TCGCTCGCTCGCTCTCCCTCCTGCTTGCTCGCCGGCTGCGGGGCCGGGCTCTCTCCCAGCGCTCTCAGGAAGGAAGAAGGGGGGCCAAAGACGCCGACAAGTTCCCGCAGCAGCCGCAGATCCCGGCCCAGGCGGAGGCTGCGGCTCAGACGGGGCAGGAGAGCGCTCCGCGGCGGAGCGCACGGCCAGAGCGTCCCAGGCGGGGGCGCCCGGGCCTTTCGCTCTCCGCGGGGCCGCGGTCCGGGATCCCATGAGACGCGCCCGTGAGGGGCGAGAGATCCGAAGCCCGGGCGGCGAGAAGCAGAGGCGGAGGGCGGTGCTGCAGCTGCTGGAAGCCGGGATCGGCCGGCAGGAGGCGGCGGAGAGAACTTGAACTTGGCGTCGAGAGCGGGCGCCCCGGACGCCCCCCGCCGGGGCCGGGGCGCCGAGAGACCTGGGCCGCAGCGCTGCTCCCCGAATGGCCGCGGCGGCGGACCGGGCTTCCGCGCCGCGGCCCTAGGCGGCCTCTCGCCATGGCCAAGTGGCTGAACAAGTACTTCAGCTTGGGCAACAGCAAGACCAAGAGCCCCCCGCAGCCGCCGCGGCCGGACTACCGCGAGCAGCGGCGCCGGGGCGAGCGGCCCTCGCAGCCCCCCCAGGCTGTGCCGCAGGCCCCGGCGGGCGCCTCGGCGTCCTGCGGTCCGGCTGCCGCCTCCTGCTTCTCAACCTCGTCGGGATCGCTGCCCGACGACAGCGGCAGCACCAGCGACCTCATCCGCGCCTACCGCGCACAGAAGGAGCGCGACTTTGAGGACCCCTACAACGGGCCCGGTTCGTCGTTGCGCAAACTGCGCGCCATGTGCCGCCTGGACTACTGCGGCGGCGGCGGGGAGCCGGGCGGGGGCCAGCGCGCCTTCTCAGCCTCGTCCGCGTCGGGCGCCGCCGGCTGCTGCTGTGCCTCCTCCGGTGCAGGCGCCGCCGCGTCCTCGTCGTCGTCCTCCGGCTCCCCGCACCTCTACCGCAGCAGCAGCGAGCGGCGGCCAGCCACCCCGGCCGAGGTGCGCTACATCTCTCCGAAGCACCGCCTCATCAAGGTGGAGAGCGCCGCGGGCGGTGCGGGAGACCTCCCGGGGGGTGCCTGCTCGGGCGGCCGCACCTGGAGCCCGACGGCCTGCGGTGGCAAGAAACTGCTCAACAAGTGTGCCGCCTCGGCCGCGGAGGAGAGCGGGGCCGGCAAAAAGGACAAGGTAAGGCACCCCTTGTTCTCACCCCAGGTTCCTGAGCCACTGTGCGCACGGGGAGACTGAGGCAACGCTCTGGTTTCTTCATTAGCTTCGGGCTAGGACCCTGGGGTAAGGGCTCCCACGCTGCTTCCCAGTTCTTCCCTCTCGCACGCTCTTTCCTCTGGATCCTCGGCCTCTGACACAGACTCTTACCTGCTGCTCCTAAAACGTCCTTCTCTGAGCCCACAGCCAGGTGCCTCCTTCGGAAGTAACCTGACGAGAGCGTCCTACCAACCTTGTCCAAGAAAGACCCAGCCAGCCCTTCCGTCCCCCAAGACCTAAAGTCTGAAAGTCAGAGCTGGCAGGGATTTAGAGAAGCGTGTTTCGTTTTTTGTTTTCTCCCTCCCACCATGCTATAGATGGGAAACTGAGGTCTAGAGCTGGGAAGGGACTCGCCCGATATTACACAGCATTCTCAGTGGCAGATCCGGACCGGCTGTCTTTAAACGTATATATGTAAATCCCTCTAAAAGCCCTGCCCTGCCCCACCCCTCGCGCCAGGTTTCCAAATCCGAGCGGCCTTTTGTACTGGAGCTGCCCTGGGAACCCCCACGCATGCTTTTCCGGTTGAAGTACGCTGCCTCCAGGAGCTTTACACTTCGACAAGTCAGTTCCCACCGCCGCGCGCAGAAGGGGGTCCGCCAGTCCATCAGCTGGAAGGAGACTCACCCTTCCAATCCTCACCTCTTCCTGATCCCACCCCCCACCCCATACAGTCCCAGGAATGAGGGGGACCACTTTGTGACAACCCCCCCTAACATATTAGGCCATTTTGATCCCCCTCTTTGAAGCACACCAATTATAGCTAGACTGGACCCCTCTCTTCCCCCTTCACACTCCTGTTGCACCCTCCCTTCCCCCATAAAATAATACTTGTTCTGTCTACTTATGGTGGAAGGCAGTGTTTTGATTACATCTGAGGCCCAGCGCCCTGTCAGGCTCATGTCCCTCTTGTTCTCCCCATCACCCCCACCTTTTCCCAAAGGTAAACTTTTGCCCAAGCGTGGGCTGGGGAAGACTGAGAGTCTGAGCTCCCTTTAGGACTGGATGTCCAGACAGCAGACAGACAGGCTCCTACCTGCCAGCTGGTGCTTGGAAGGGATGTTTTATTTTCTAGGCAGGAGAAGTAAGGGGATGCCCTTCTTTTTATTTTTCTGCCTGGATTTTTCTCTGAGGTCCCACCCAAGAGTATCCCCTCCTCTCTGGATCTGCTAAAGGCAAGGTGGGCGGTCCCTGGAGCCAGTTTGGGGGCACACCTTGGAAGCATGGACTCAGGGCTTCCTACAAGAACCTGGGAGCCAGGTGGCCTCCCAGGTGCTTGCTGCCTTGGAGGAGGGGGATATTTCTCTGGGAGCCCCCAGGATCAAGGGCTTGTGGTTGATCTGTGAGGGAAACACCAAAGAGGCTCCTTGCTGCCTTATATGTGGCTCAGGTTTGGCTAGGGGCTGGCTTGGGAGAATCTGAAGTTCCTGCGTATGGTTGGTTTGAGCAAGGCCCTGCCTCTGAAGATGGAGAGATTCCCAGCAAATGGTGCTAGACTCCTGGGCCCCCCTTGTTACTCCACAGCTACCTTCCTGGTGGGCAAATCTTTCCCTCCCACTGCTTTGTAAAGTTTTCTTTTCTGGCTTTCAAAACTTTAGTAGACTTTTTTTTTTTTCCAATTAAGAGTATTTCAAATACTGAGGAATAAAATGTCTTATAGCTAGAATGTCAAGTGTATTTGAGAGTTGGCTTTGTTCACCATCAAGTTTGTTTTTTTAAGATTTTATTTTTAAATAATCTCTACACCCAGTGTGGGGCTCAAACCTACAACCCCAAGATCAAGAGTTGCATGCTCCACTGACTTAGCCAGCCAGGCGCCTCTCACCATCAAGTATTTTTTATGGGTCTTTCCTGTGCCCTCCCCTGCTGGGTGCTGGAGCAGTCCCTCGTGAATTTTGTGGCCCAGTCTGCAGTGTGGATGATGAGTGCTATGATGGGGGTGCTGTTACAGGAGGGCTGAGGTGGGGGTGGTCAGGGAGGGCTGTTATTGTGGGGGAGGGGCAGTGACTGTGGTTGGCTCCCAAAAGAAAGCCTGGCACTTGAAGAGATGCAGATAAAGTGCCTGTGGCTGGCATTGAGAGGTTAGAGTTGTGCAGGACCCCAGGGGAACAGCAGGGCCCAGGTTAGGGAGGACCTTATAAGCTAAGCACAGTGAGGGCAAATGAAGGGATTTATGGGGGGGTTTTTTTTGTTTTTTTGTTTTTTATCTCTCTTGGCTGCATTTCACTTACTGGGTTGTGACTTTGAGCCCTTTGATCTTTTGAGAAATTGTTCTGATCCAGAGACAGGAGTTTCAGCTACCAGATGTTCTTTCTAAAGAGGAAGAGGGGAGGCAGCCACAGAGGGTCACACTGTGCAGTGGTTCTCAAACCAGAACTTGGAGGGCTCTTTAAAACCGATTCATCAAGCCTGCTGTGGGTCCTGAAAATGTGCATTTCTAACAAGTTCCTAGGTGATCTTTTGCTGCTGATTCTGCTATCACACTTTTGAGGGCCATTATGTAAGTGACTTCTCCTTAACCCTTCCCCTGGGTCTTCTGGTTGGAACTGCTTTGGGATGCAGAGACTCTAGATCCTCTCCTCTCTGCCCTGTGTGGGGCTGTCTCCTCATCTGGGGCCAACACCCACCCCCCATTCCTGGTCAGGCAGTCTGAATGCAGCCCGGTTTTCACATTATTTTCGGCCAGACAGCTTTTGGAAGGCCAGGCATACTGTATAGATCCAGGCCTGAACACCTCGGAGCCTTCCTTCTACCACTCACCCATGGATCCAGGAAAACCCACTTCTAGTACCCCGCTTAATCTCAGGCCCAGCTTCCTTTTGTCAATTGTCAGAGATAAGACAAGAACCCATAAGGCTGATGAATGCCTCCGCCACACTCCCACTCTATGTGCCAGGCCCTGTGTTTGTTTTTAACATCAGGCCTGAGTTGGGAGTTACTGTGGTGTGGGGTAGAAGCTGTTGGTCCACAGATCGTCTTTTCACTGCCTCCAGTGCCGCCTCCCACTGTGGTTTATCTTTGGGGGCCCTGCCTCGTGCCTCCCTATGTCACACTGAGGCATCATTTTATTCCCCCAGTGAGTTCTCTGGCGCACCCCCTCCTCCCGAGCATCCAGTCTTGGGCATTATCCCTTTCAGAATCATGTGAAAGAGGGGGAAGGAATGAAGGCTGCAGAAGACTAGTCAGTAATCTCTGGCCTAAGTCTCTGGAGGAGATTGTCACACACTATCTTCATCATTTGTTTCCCCGGGGTTTTGTTTTGGGGAATTTTGTGAGGTCTTTACCTAGGAGGCAGCTTTGAGCTGGAATTAGAGATGGAAATGGAATTGCAGTGCCGGGGAAGGGGCCGCTACAGCCTGCAGCAGCACTTCTGTGTCAGGGCTCTGTGTACATGCGCGGATGTAAGTTTGCGCGCATGTACATGTGTGGGTATGTATGTGTGTACATGTACATACAGAACTTCAGTATGGAGTTTGTTCTTGGAAACCAGAGCTTTCTTGCAGTGGGCCTCCATTGGGGAATGAGAGATGACATCAAATAGGTGGGGGGCTGAGTTTGGACCCCACAGGGAGTCCTTGGAACTGGTGAGCCGAGAAAGGGACGGACTCAGCCATGATTGAGCTGCCACAATGGGGGATGGGGTCAGTGTTAGGGGACAATTAGAGTCCAGGTGAGAGACTGTGAGGACCTGAGCTCCCAGGAAGAGAGAACAAAACTAGTCAGTAGAAATATCATTCCTTCGGGTTGTCTTTATAAAAAGTAACCATGACAGAAGAAGCCAGTAACTTACTTGGTTGGTCTCCCTTTGTGCAGCCGAACAGGTCTCATCCCGTTATGTTTTCTGCTGAAGTCTTGTTTCTTTTATCATAATTAAGTAAATGTTTCCACCACAACTGAGAAAGTCAAGATGCATGATGACATCAGTTTCCCGAGTTTTAAATACATGCTAATGTGTACCAACACTTTATATTTTGTCAGCATCCACAGGGTTGAGTTAAATAACATGTTTCCTAAGAATAATATCATGTCTAACCTTTTTTTTTTTTTTTTTTTTTAAACATTCAGCAAACAGTTTCTGAGCAGCCTGCTAGACAGGGGATATTCAGAGAATAAATGGTGGCCAGCTTCAGCTTTCCAAGAAGGAAGATTCTCTTTTGCAGTTGAACACTAGCTTCTCAAGGTCTAGTCTGGGAGACAGATAACCGCCAAGGAGACCTAAGGAATGCCAAAACAGAAGTGTGTGCAAGGGGCTGGTAAGGCCTCGACTCTGGGAAGTCCAAGAGAGCTTTCAGGAGGAGGCGACATTTGAGCTGACTCTGGAAGGATGAGTGGGAATTTCCTAGGCAGGGATGAGGGGGGAGGGCTGTCCATGCAGAAGGGATAGAACAGCTTGTGCCAGGGCCTGGAGGCTTGGGAGGGAATGGCTGGAGGCTCAGCAGAGTAGGTGTGGTGGGGGCATTACAGAGGGAGGTTGGAGTCAGAAAGGGAAGAGAGTGTCTTATGTGCCTTGCTGGGGAGTTGTAACTGGTCTTTTGGGCCTTTTCACATGCAATCATTGATGTATGGCTTGATTGAAGCCCGAGTCAAACATGAGTTGTCAATTTCCATTTGGTTAATGGGCATATTCTCCAGTTCTTAGAAAGTAATTGATGGAAAAGGTAAGAGCCAAAGTTGGTATCTGTGGTTTGGCTTGGGATACTTTCTCCTTTGAAGTCCTGTCCCTTGAAAGTTGTGCGAGAGAAATGCCTATCAAACTCGGTTTTTTCCATTGATTCCCCAGTAGAGAAATATTCTCTAGGCTTCATGCTAACCACTTAATTGGTCATTTAATCCTCACGGTCACTCTAGAAGAGGTTTAGATACTGTATCCGTTAGCTATTGCTGCATAACAAATCACCTCAAACTCAGTGATTTTAAACTAG